CTAATACCTTGCATATAACAGAGTGTACACAGTCCCAGAAAGGTTGCATTTTACTGCAGCTCCAAAACACAGGTGTATGGTGAGGTTCCTGATGTTTACAAAGTCTCCAGCATGATTGTTGAGTGTTTGTTTGTTTACTAGTGATTTTGGGTGTGTAAAAAAAACGAATTTGGTTTTTCCACAGAGATTCTCTCCATCCGTGTGACTGTGTATGGTCGTGTGACTGTGTGTGGTCGTGTGACTGTGTATGGTCGTGTGACTGTGTGTGGTCGTGTGACTGTGTGTGGTCGTGTGACTGTGTGTCGTCGTGTGACTGTGGTCGTGTGACTGTGTGTGGTCGTGTGACTGTGTGTGGTCGTGTGACTGTGTGTGGTCGTGTGGTCGTGTGACTGTGTGTGGTCGTGTGACTGTGTGTGGTCGTGTGACTGTGTATGGTCGTGTGACTGTGTGTGGTCGTGTGACTGTGTGTGGTCGTGTGGTCGTGTGACTGTGTGTGGTCGTGTGACTGTGTGTGGTCGTGTGTCGTGTGACTGTGTGGTCGTGTGACTGTGTGTGGTCGTGTGACTGTGTATGGTCGTGTGACTGTGTGTGGTCGTGTGACTGTGTGTGACTGTGTGTGGTCGTGTGACTGTGTGTGGTCGTGTGACTGTGTGTGGTCGTGTGGCTGTGTGTGGGTCGTGTTTGGTCGTGTGACTGTGTGTGGTCGTGTGACTGTGTGTGGTCGTGTGACTGTGTGTGGTCGTGTGACTGTGTGTGTCGTCGTGGTGACTGTGTGTGGTCGTGTGTACTGTGACTGTGGTGGTCGTGTGGACTGTGTGGTCCGTGTGACTGTGTGTGGGTCGTGTGACTGTGTGGTCGTGTGGTCGTGTGACTGTGTGGGTCGTGTGACTGTGTGGTCGTCGTGACTGTGTGTGGTCGTGGTGACTGTGTTGGTCGTGTGGTCGTTGACTGTGTGTGTCGTGTGACTGTGTGTGGTCGTGTGACTGTGTGTGGGTCGTGTGACTGTGTGTGGTCGTGTGACTGTGTGTGGTCGTGTGGTCGTGTGACTGTGTGTGGTCGTGTGACTGTGTGGTCGTGTGACTGTGTGTGGTCGTGTGACTGTGTGTGGTCGTGTGGTCGTGTGACTGTGTGTGGTAGTGTGACTGTGTGGTCGTGTGACTGTGTGGTGGTCGTGGGACTGTGTGTGGTCGTGTGACTGTGTGTGGTCGTGTGACTGTGTGTGGTCGTGTGCGTGTGACTGTGTGTGGTCGTGTGACTGTGTGGTCGTGTGACTGTGTGTGGTCGTGTGACTGTGTGTGGTCGTTGTGTGGTCGTGTGACTGTGTGTGGTCGTGTGACTGTGTGTGGTCGTGTGACTGTGTGTGGTCGTGTGACTGTGTGTGGTCGTGTGACTGTGTGTGGTCGTGTGACTGTGTGTGGTCGTGTGACTGTGTGTGGGTCGTGTGACTGTGTGTGGTCGTGTGACTGTGTGGGTGTGTGACTGTGTGGTCGTGTGACTGTGTGTGGTCGTGTGACTGTGTGTGGTCGTGTGACTGTGTGGTCGTGTGACTGTGTGTGGGACTGTGTGTGGTCGTGTGACTGGTGTGGTCGTGTGACTGTGTGTGGTCGTGTGACTGTGTGTGGTCGTGTGACTGTGTGTGGTCGTGTGACTGTGTGTGGTCGTGTGACTGTGTTGGTCGTGTGACTGTGTATGGTCGTGTGACTGTGTGGTGGTCGTGTGACTGTGTGTGGTCGTGTGACTGTGTATGGTCGTGTGACTGTGTGTGGTCGTGTGACTGTGTGTGGTCGTGTGACTGTGTGTGGTCGTGTGACTGTGTGTGGTCGTGTGACTGTGTGTGGTCGTGTGACTGTGTGTGGTCGTGTGGTCGTGTGACTGTGTGTGGTCGTGTGACTGTGTGTGGTCTTGTGACTGTGTGTGGTCGTGTGACTGTGTGTGGTCGTGTGACTGTGTGTGGTCGTGTGACTGTGTGTGGTCGTGTGACTGTGTGTGTGGTCGTGTGACTGTGTGTGGTCGTGTGACTGTGTGTGGTCGTGTGACTGTGTGTGGTCGTGTGACTGTGTGTGGTCGTGTGACTGTGTGTGGTCGTGTGACTGTGTGGTCTGGTGCATTTTCCACATATCATACCACATCTCATCTGAGATCCTTTCGTTTAGTTATTTTTCCCATTTAGTTTTTACATAGTGTTGAATCTTTTTTGGCTTCCATCAAGCACGAATACAGGGTTGACACAACTTTGCGAACATCATCATGGTAAGCTCGTGCAATAATCTTTACAATAGGTTGTATGTCATCTTCATTTTTCTTAACCTTTTTTGTATAGTAGTCCCTCATTTGCATATATCTGAATAAGTCTTTGTTCTCTAGGTCAAAGAGGTTATTCAGGTCTTGAAGGCTTCTCATTTCTCCCTTCTGGATAACCGTGCATATGGCTGTTAAACCCTGTTCTGTCCATTGCTTGAATCTACAGCTTCCTGGTTTGAATCCTTTGTCATAGGCTATCCAGTTTAATAGTCCAAGTTCCCTTCCCAATTTCAATTGTTTAATAATAGAATACCATTTTTCTAGTGTAAATGTTGTTATTGGGTCTAGGTCTCCCTTTTCTTTAATATGGGGAGGTATTTCTCTTTGCCCTATGAGTGGTTGAATTGGGGACTCATATGTAAGTATTTCGATGTCTTTCCAGCGGGCTATATAATCGGAGTTGCACCAGTAAATGAGAGGACGTAGTTGTGCTGCATGATAATATTCCTTTAAGTTTGGAAGTGCCAGTCCCCCTCTTTCTTTAGGCAGGTGCAGTGTGGTATATCTTATCCTAGGTCTTTTACCCCCCCATATGAATCTTGATATAAGCTTATCCCAGCTTTGGAACTGAGTCTGCGGTATATTTATCGGCAAGGATTGAAATAAATACAACAAGCGTGGTAGAATATTCATTTTCACTGTATTTATCCTGTCAATAAAACTCATCGGGTAAGTTGACCATTTTTCGAAATCTTTCCTTATATCTTTGTCAATACATTCATAGTTGCTTTGGTACAGCTTTGTACATGTTTGGTTATGTTTATTCCTAAGTATTTAATTGATTTAGCTTCCCAGTTTAAATGTAATTCTTTTAGTTGTTGATTTGGAGCGCAGTTAAACATAAGGATTTGAGTTTTAGATATGTTTAATTTGTACCCTGAATATTAGCTTTATAAAGGAGCTTACTGGATCTTTCAGCGTGATCATGACGTCGTCTGCGAAAAGGCTAATAACATGTTTTTGTTGACTAATTTCTATTCCTGCAATAGCACTTTCCTGTCTGATCATTTGGGCTCTGAAATCATAAAACAGGTAATTGTGTGTGTGTGTGTGTGTGTGTGTGTGTGTGTGTGTGTGTGTGTGTGTGTGTGTGTGTGTGTGTGTGTGTGTGTGTGTGTGTGTGTGTGTGTGTGTGTGTGTGTGTGTGTGTGTGTGTGTGTGTGTGTGTGTGTGTGTGTGTGTGTGTGTTGTGTGTGTGTGTGTGTGTGTGTGTGTGTGTGTGTGTGTGTGTGTGTGTGTGTGTGTGTGTGTGTGTGTGTGTGTGTGTGTGTGTGTGTGTGTGTGTGTGTGTGTGTGTGTGTGTGTGTTGTGTGTGTGTGTGTGTGTGTGTGTGTGTGTGTGTGTGTGTGTGTGTGTGTGTGTAAAACACATCAGCTGCCTCCTGGTGCTGCAGAGATTTCATGAAGTGAAGGAGGTTTTTCTTCTATGAAGCAGCTGTGGGCAGCAGATACTGTGAGAGTCACAGACATGAATACATAGGTCAAGGCAGACTGGTTCACAGACTCTCCTGTTTTGCCGATCCGGTGCTTGAACAAATAACTCTACACCCCTGGCCGAAATGTCCCTAAAATGAAGTCCGAGTTTGAAATCTATCTCAAATAATGTATGTATTTCCCCACATAAACATAACAGTCTGCAATGAAACGGCTGTCTCCTGTGCGCTCCACTTCCTACTTTCTCCTGCGAACGAGAAGAGACTTTCTCTCTCTGTTTTTTCTTTCATTGCCCTCTAAGTGCTTCGTACAATACAAATGCAAATATTCTATTTTAAAAAGTAAAGTCCTTTCGAGTCATCTGTCTCAAGCCTAAGTCTCAAGTCATGAATACCAAGTCAAAGTCAAGTCTTTTATCAATGTTAGTCAAGCAAGTCTCAAGTCAAAAAATAGGCAAGTCAAGTCATGTGACTCGAGTCAAGTCATGTGACTCGAGTCCCCCACCTCTGGTATATACTTTGGTTAGAATATTGCTGTATTACTGTATCAAATATAATAAACACAAACAGATGTTAAGTAGTATTTTGTTAACTCAAGGTTTATATTAAGTGAGTTTTTATTGTGTTAACTTGTGTATTTATGCTTTTTAGATTGACTTTCTCTCTTTCTCTGTCCGTCTGTTCTAGAAACCGAAAGGAAGAGAGAGACGTCACAGCTGTCAGCAATGTGACAAATCCTTTACAGCATCTGGACCTTTAAAGAGCCACCTGCATATTCACACGGGAGAAAAACCGTACAGCTGTGAAGAGTGTGGGACAACTTTCACTAGATCAGGTGCTCTCAAAATACATCAACGTATTCATACTGGAGAAAAACCTTACAGCTGTGAAGAGTGTGGGACAACTTTCACTACATCAGGTGCTCTCAAAATACATCAACGTATTCATACAGGAGAAAAACCTTACAGCTGTGAAGAGTGTGGGACAACTTTCACTACATCAGGTAATCTCAAAATACATCAACGTATTCATACTGGAGAAAAACCTTACAGCTGTGAAGAGTGTGGGACAACTTTCACTCAATCAAGTGCTCTCAAATCACATCAACGTATTCATACTGGAGAAAAACCTTACAGCTGTGAAGAGTGTGGGACAACTTTCACTACATCAGGTCATCTCAAAACACATCAAAGTATTCATACTGGAGAAAAACCTTACAGCTGTGAAGAGTGTGGGACAACTTTCACTCAATCAGGTGATCTCAAAATACATCAACGTATTCACACTGGAGAAAAACCTTACAGCTGTGAAGAGTGTGGGAAAACTTTCACTCAATCAGGTGCTCTCAAAACACATCAACGTATTCATACTGGAGAAAAACCGTACTGGTGTGAAGAGTGTGGGACAACTTTCACTACATCAGGTTCTCTAGAATCACATCACCGTATTCACTCAGGAGAAAAACCTTACTGGTGTGAAGAGTGTGGGAAAACTTTCACTACATCAAGTGCTCTCAAAAGACATCTTCGTGTTCACTCAGGAGAAAAACCATAGTGGTTCTAAGAGTGTAGGAGCCGCAATTAAGCATATTTTGTTGTTTTCACAGTTTACAATAAACAATTCCCATCTATTGGCCTTGTGTTGGGTAATCCTTTTTTCCATTACAGATCCCATCCCAACAGCGCCATCTGTTGACGTAACGTCAGAATTGACAGGCATAATGTTCACTGTTCCTTTAAAAGTGGACCTATCATGCTATATTTGAATAATATAGTGTAGGACCATACCTATATAAGGCATATTTATACTTTTTATTTTTCAAAATACCAAACAGATCATGCATTTTAGCCATTCCTCATTTCGCTCAATTTAACACTGTGTTTGCATGGGCTGATTCTGTGAGAACAGCGCCATCTGTTGACGTAACGTCAGAATTGACAGGCCTAATGTTCACTGTTTCGTTTTCTGTCCGTCTGCCGACAGCGCGCTGTTTCATTGCTTTACATACCAAGGTTTAAGTACACTGTGTCAATAGTTGTAGTATGAGCATCGTCTGGGCTGGCCGTCTGGTAGAATCGGTATGCTCTTCCTCCTGTGTCCACTTCCTCTCCTGTCACCTATGACCCCTTTTATACACCCCACCACCAAGTGTTCAAAATAACATTCAGGGTGTCCACGGGGTCTTAAAAAGTATTAAAAGTTGATAAATCAATTTAGCAAAAATTAAGGCTATTAAAAAGTATTAGACGGCATTTTCCAAGGTATTAAGAAGGTCCACAGCAACGACAACAAGAAACACCCTTTAATTTACTGAAACAACATGTCCCCCTCAAGGTGGCCCCATGCATAGCGTGCCATAAAATGCTGCTTCTTATTTTAAGTTTCGTTGCCTTGCTCCGCTCGGTGGGGGGGGGGGGGGGTATACCTGAGAGATATACAGCAGGAGAACACGCCGTCCACCACGGAGAATAAACAGAAGGGCAACCATGCTCTGGGGACTTCTTCGCTGCTTTTGGTGTATTTTGTGGCGGCAGCAGCGCCACTTACAGGCCTGGCATATGTACTACAGCGTTTCCAGCGGTCTAATGTGAACGGACGCGTTAATGAATCGAATGCGTGTGAACGGAAGGCTTTTTTGCGTTTGCGTTTTACTGTATGCGTCCTCGTGGGGCCGGGGTCTAAGCCAAACGATATCCGGTCACAGAGATCTGCTATTTTAAAGTAAGGTCAACACATATCGACCCTAAATATAGTCTATATTAAGAACGAGAAAATTCTTAACATATATATCGTTTTTTGTAGACAAATGTGTGAGGGTGATGACGTCAGAGCATCGTCCTATGTGCCGGGCTTAGCCCCGGACAGCCCCAGCCCAATTGAACCCCTGGGTATTTGTGAGGGAGCTCCTATATGGCATTACCCCGCTGAAGCTCACCAAAGTTTCATATATTTCATAGTTCAAAGTTTTGTCAATTGTTTTGTTTATTGGTCAAATACTGGTTTCTAATGGTTTCTAATGGTTTCTGAGGAGTTTGACTGGAATGAAAGAGCACAGAGTACAGAAGCAACAAAGCAGCATCCTGCATTAACCCTGACCTTCACAGAGAGGTTGAAGTTCATGGAGAGGAGGCTTCAGTCGTCTGTCTGCACTCTGTTTAGCTAATCAATATAGAGATGTGAGGTAAAGTGTCGCCAAGGTAACCGGTTAGAACTCCAAGTTGCGATGAGGTCTTAAAATGTATGGAAAGGGTCTTAAAAAAGGTCTTAAAAGGTATTAAATGTGACTTCAGGATTCCTGCATATACCCTGATATTGCACTATTCATATAAATAAGGTAAACTGAGACACCAACAACACCCATAAAATGGCTCCTACAAAGAGTGTGGGAAAACCTTTTCTTAAAGTATTCACCTTAAAGTCCATGAGCGAGTTTCACTGTTCATTAATCTGCTTCATGTATCTAGAACATATCTACGATGTTTTCAGTTTGATTCTATTCTCTTGTTGAAATGATCAGACTACCAAAAATAAAATGGCCTTAGAAACAGACCAGCCTGCCCTCCTACAAAAAACGACCAAATAGGTCGATTGTTGAAGCACCTTAGATTACGACCCAGAGCCACGTTTTAAAGTGTGGTCGTGTAAGAAACAACATGCTCCCGTTTATTCACAAATAACCCTCTCTGGAAAATCCTAAATTGTGGAATAGTTTGGCCATTAAAATGCTTTTTGATTAGATTTCTAGCAAGAAGTGTATATTGTACTCTTAGAATCCACGTCCAGTGGATGTGTAGGATCTATAGTTTGATAGATATTACGAAGATGATCTGAGGTCTCGCCAGGATAACGTGTATGCAGCTTCCATGCAAAGTTAGCGTGGGTGAAAACTGTTTTTCCGGTCTCTAAGTTTTCACAATAAAACCGGATATATTCCCTCACTGTCAAATGATTACACAGTGATATCTGCATTACTCATCCACTAGAAAACATCAGTTTATCCTTGTTAATTACACAATATTGATTGGTTTAAATGGTGTACAATGCTTTTGTGTTTTTAACCTTCGATTCAGAGAAACAAATAGGAGTTTTGACACTACAGTTTCTGAAGACACTACACTACCCAGAATCCCCAGCTATCGTTTGGGACTACAACATCCGCCTTGCTTTACAAACCTCGTGATTAGTCATCAAGCCCTGTGATTGGATGTTGGAGTGGCAGTGCGGCAAGGTTACGCTGAGCGTCACAGCTCTTTGAAATGGAATGGAGCCACGGCAGACTTTCCAAAACTGGAATTGGACAGCACATTTAGCAAATATGGCAGCATCCATCGATCATCTTAAGATAAGATATACTTTATTGATCCCAAGTTGGGAAATGTTTTTGTTACAGCAGCATACTACTTTGTTCTACTCCACTACAGTTCAGAGGTTAACCTGGTATTTTTACTCCACTACATTTATTTTAGTTCCTTTGCAGATTGTGATTAATGATGTGAAATATAAACAACCCTTAAAGCAGACTTTAGTTGCACCTGCCTCAAATTCAGGGAAGGTGATTGTCAAGTGCCAAAATAAACTATGCAATATATTGGACGTTAAGTACTTTGTCAGAATTCATATTTATCTGTGGATAACCCCAACGTTTTTTTCTTATTCAAGAAGACCTTAACTTAAAGTAATGTTTAATGTTTAAATAAAGCCTAGTTGGTCTGTTTTGCATCCTCCTGTTAATATCTTTGGACGTCCTGCACTCAACTGTTTTAGAGATCACTACAGTGTCTTCTTGATATTTTATATTGTGTATGTAGGCTACTCTCAAAATTCAATAACGTGCTTTAACCACTAGGCGGCGCGGGTTAAAAAACCAGTGGTGTAGTTAATAAAACATAATAATATCAAACATAATGTGACTATTAACTTTATTGTGAAATGAAAACAGAACGGTAAAGGAAAACACAGTTTCAGTCTCTCGATGTGAAGCTTATGCATTGTACCATGAACCTGGATAGACCTGTAACAGTCAACTGCATGAGGAGTTGGAAAGGTAATGAATGAATTAAAATGTCGAACTCTGACTTCATTTTAAGGACATGTCGGCCAGGGATGTAGAGCTATATTTGTTTAACCACCGGATTGGCAAAACAGGAGAGTGTGTGCACCAGTCTGCCTTGATCTATGTATTCATGTCTGTGACTCTCACAGTATCTGCTGCCCACAGCTGCTTTATGGAAGGAACACCTCCTTCACTTCATGAAATCTCTGCAGCACCAGGAGGCAGCTGATGTGTTTTAACCACACACACACACACACACACACACACACACACACACACACACACACACACACACACACACACACACACACACACACACACACAACATAAATATCTGTGTACAGATGTGTATTCCTATGTGATATTGTATTACTTATAAACACCTCTCTTAGCTCAGGATGTGTCCCAGCTGCCTTCAAACATGCCGTTCTTAAAAAGAAAATCTTGACCCCTCCATTCTCACACATTTTAGGCCCATTTCCCAGCTACCTTTTTTATCAAAAGCCCTGGAGCGAGTAGTCTACGCCCAGCTGCAGTCTTTCTTAACCACGCATGGCATCCATGAAAAGTTTCAGTCTGGCTTTAAACCTATGCATAGCACTGAAACAGCCCTTTTAAGAGTTTTTAATGATCTGCTCTTAGCCGCCGACTCAGGCAGCCCAGCTGTCTTGGTGCTGTTAGACCTGACAGCTGCCTTTGACACTGTGGACCATAGCATCCTGTTGTCACGGCTTGAACAGTCCGCAGGCATCACAGGCTCTGCCCTTGCATGGTTCAGGTCTTACCTGACAGACCGTAGCTTTTTAGTGCAGCTAGGTGCCTTCTCCTCTGCCAAAGCCCCTCTTACCTGTGGGGTCCCCCAAGGCTTAATTCTGGGCTCCATCCTCCTTTTACTGTACATACTGCCCCTAGGTTCAATCCTCCCGAAACACAATATCCCCTTCCACTGCTACGCGGACGATGTACAGATCTATCTGCCTCTCAAAGCAAATGTCAACTCACTACAGCAGTTGATGGACTGCTTAACAGAGTTAAAATCCTGGCTGAGCAAACACTTCCTCAACCTCAATGAGAGCAAGACCGAGGTAATCTTTTTTGGACCCCAACCTCCAGCCTCTCCGGTTGATATTCTGGGCTCCCTAAGTAAAAACATCCTCCCCTCTGTGTTGAACCTTGGAGTGACCTTTAATAGCACTTTTAAATTCGACAAGCAGGTCAGCACCGTAGTAAAATCCTCCTTTTTTAAAATAAGACTATTGGCCAAAACCAAGTCGTATTTATCTTTTAAAGACCTGGAAAGGGTTATTAACGCCTTTGTGACCTCAAGACTGGACTATTGTAACGCTCTGTATGTGGGTATGGACCAGGCATCAATTAAACGCCTGCAGCTAGTCCAAAACGCAGCTGCACGTCTCCTGACTGGCCACAAAAAGCGTGACCACATCACCCCAATTCTGGCTTTACTACATTGGCTTCCAGTCCGGTTCAGAATTGATTTTAAAATCCTTTTATTTGTATTTAAAGCACTAAATGGGTTGGCTCCGGCCTATATAGCTGAACTCCTCCATCGCTACACCCCAGGCAGAGCTTTAAGATCTGCTGACCAGCTGCTGCTGGTAGTGCCTAAGACCAGGCTCAAAACCCGAGGGCACCGAGCCTTCGCAGCAGCTGGCCCCAGGCTCTGGAACACTCTTCCCCTCCATGTGAGGTCGGCCCAGACCCTAGGGGCTTTTAAATCCACATTGAAGACACACTACTTCTCTCTGGCCTTCTAGTTAGAGTGGGGTTACGACTCCTGACTGTTCCATGTGTTGTTTTTATCTGTTGTGATTTATTGTGATGTAATGTGTTTTTATGTGTTTAAATTACATGTACAGCACTTTGGCTCGACCAAAATCGTTTTTAAATGTGCTCTACAAATAAAACTTGATTTGATTTGATTCTGTGTGTTCAGGTGTGTGGAAAGTATTTCCAGGTACAAATGTTATTTCTCACGGGGATATTCACAAGCAACCAACTCCCATGCACTCTGAATGTGCATTAGCAGACCCACTGTTGGTATGACATGAAAGAGCTTCTTCTCAGACTCCCTTTTCCTTTCTGTTTCAGCGAGTCTGCAGCTGCAGTGTGATAAGAAGCAGATCACGGCTCCCCTCGGGTCAGACTTCCTGCTCTCCTGCAGCTATGAGAACCAGCTGCTCAGCAACAAGTACTGGTGCCGAGGAGAGTCCAGGAGGACCTGCGAGGTGCTGGTGGACTCGGAGGGGAAGACCAGAACCACCCGGGTTCACATCGTGGATGCTCGGAGGAGAGGACCGTTTGTGAGGGTCTTAGATCTGCAGAAGGGGGACAGCGGGGTCTACTGGGTCGGGATCGACAGGCCTTATGCTGACATCATGACGTCAGTGAGGGTGGTCGTCACTGAAGGTGAGAATACACACTGCAGGTGGAGAGGGTTCAATATTGAACTAACAGGTATTGTGAAGTAAAAACTTCTTTGCAGCAATGTTGAGCGCATCATAAAATGAGGGAAACTGGATTCACCTGTAGATACACTGATATTTATTGAGAGACAGACAATTACGTACGGCCGGGAGATCATCCTAGTTTCACACTGTCCTTGTGCTCCACCAAGGTAATCTCTGAACCAAAAGACACAAAACATCTAACCAACACGAGGAGAGGCGGGCTCCCAGAAAGCCCGCGTATACCTAATTAGTAGCAGATGTGAGACAATGGTCTACTTGTCTCAAAGAGATCCAGACAAGCCTCAACCTACACAGGGGTCTTTGACTGACTACAAGCAGATGTTTGCAGTATCACAGATTCTATAAAACAATAAGAAACTCTATAAACAGATCAGAAGGAAAATATTCTCTTACAGGTATCACCATGAAACCCCCGTGCCCGATCACGGCTCCCCTCGGGTCAGACTTCCTGCTCTCCTGCACTTGTTGGAGAGACGCCATCGAGGAACAGTTTTAACCATACACGTACACAAATCGTACAAGTACCCTTTAAGTTATGAAGTTATAGAAGCCTTATCAAGAAGAGAGAATACCGTTCAAACACATCGCAACTTCATCCAAACCATCGGAGGCCGAGTAACTCTTCAACTGTAAGTAATATAAAGGAAAGAAAACGAGTTAGAAGTGTCTGTTTAGGCGTCTAGTGGCTTGATAGAAAAACAAGGAATGAAGCCACGACAATCTTTCTAGTCGGACCCATTAGAGCGTAAAAAGTGTAACTATAAGTATCTGAAATAAATATGTACTGAAAGAATAACTGTATGCATTGTTTCTTATGCGCAATTACTTCATACTGTCTTTGTCTTTCTCGTCCTGCATTTATTGCCCCCCCTCAGAAAATAACTGCCCCCCAGTCAGAATATAGCATGGTGATGAAGTTGGTCCTATAACCTGTAACCTTTAACCTGATTAGGCGTTCTCTGTCAGATTCAACAACTTCAGTCTAATGCAAAAATAAATACATTTATGTCATCAAGTTTTTTATTTAGCACATTTTAACAAGGCATAAATAAATCAATAAGATATGGTGCAAAGGAAGCATCTTATAAAACTACATTTAAAGGCAGTAAAGAAAAAGCCAATACAAATTAAAACAAGATGAACTGGAATAAAAAAAGGTTGCCCTGCTCTCCTCTGTGTTTCAGTCCCGGTCTCTAAGCCCCGCCTCCAGCCCCTGGTCTCCCTGATGGAGGGCTCCATCTATCGGGGGGGTCCGGTGACAGTGCGATGTGTGTGTTCACGGGGGACCGCGGTCCGTTACTCCTGGTTCCGACACACACACCCCGAGGACGTCCTGCTGCAGAACTCTGCTGACCTGCAGCTCACCTGTGACTCTCTGCAGCTCACCTGTGACTCTCTGCAGCTCACCTGTGACTCTCTGCAGCTCACCTGTGACTCTCACCTGTGACTCTCACCTGTGGCTCTCTGCAGATCACCTGTGACTCTCTGCGGCTCACCTGTGACTCTCACCTGTGACTCTCTGCAGCTCACCTGTGACTCTCTGCGGCTCACCTGTGACTCTCACCTGTGACTCTCTGCAGCTCACCTGTGACTCTCTGCAGCTCACCTGTGACTCTCTGCAGCTCACCTGTGACTCTCACCTGTGACTCTCACCTGTGGCTCTCTGCAGCTCACCTGTGACTCTCTGCAGCTCACCTGTGACTCTCACCTGTGACTCTCACCTGTGGCTCTCTGCAGCTCACCTGTGACTCTCTGCAGCTCACCTGTGACTCTCACCTGTGACTCTCACCTGTGGCTCTCTGCAGCTCACCTGTGGCTCTCTGCAGCTCACCTGTGACTCTCACCTGTGACTCTCTGCAGCTCACCTGTGACTCTCTGCAGCTCACCTGTGACTCTCTGCAGCTCACCTGTGACTCTCTGCAGCTCACCTGTGACTCTCACCTGTGACTCTCTGCGGCTCACCTGTGACTCTCACCTGTGACTCTCACCTGTGACTCTCACCTGTGACTCTCCCCTGTGACTCTCTGTGGCTCACCTGTGCGGGGTGCGCGTGCCTCGCAGCGGCGAAACTGTGGCGCTTACACTGCGTTTGCGCTTCAGATGAGGCTCCCTCCGCAAAACGAGGCCCCACGGAGCGCAATGAGTCACATTTAACAAGTGTTGGATGGATTGCTGATGTTAAAGCAGCAAGTATAGGTTTGAATCAAATACAGTATTGCCCCACAGCTCCAATCTCGTCCATTCCACCCTGGTTGTTCCCATTGCCAAGTGGAGACCTCAATATACGAGAGGAGTTAAAGGAAACGAAAGAACTACCAGAAATACATAACAGTGTAATTGTATCTGACAGCTTTTCAGCATTATGGAGTATACGATCAGGCAGATCTTCATCTAGAATGGACATCATAAATGAAATATGTCTAATTTTATATCAAATGCAAATCAAAGGCATAGCAACTCGTTTCATCTGGGTTCCTGCTCATGTTGGTGTGGAGGGAAATGAACAGGTGGATATTCTGGCCAAACAAACACTCAGAAGTATGAACATAGACATAGAAGTTCCACTCAGCAAAGCGGAGGTTCAAACATTCATTCAGAAATATGCAACATGGCAAGATCATTGGGACCTTAGTGATACAGGAAGACATCTTTATAACATTCAAAGGTATGTGGGGGATGGAAGGAAGGTGGGGTTTAAAAGAAGGGAGGAAAATGTCATTTCTCGGCTTAAGAGAATAGGTCATACAGGTCTCAATCATACTTTAAGTATAATACAGGTCTCAATCATACTTTAAGTATAATACAGGTCTCAATCATACTTTAAGTATAATACAGGTCTCAATCATACATTAAGTATAATACAGGTCTCAATCATACTTTAAGTATAATACAGGTCTCAATCATACATTAAGTATAATACAGGTCTCAATCATACTTTAAGTATAATACAGGTCTCAATCATACATTAAGTATAATACAGGTCTCAATCATACATTAAGTATAATACAGGTCTCAATCATACTTTAAGTATAATACAGGTCTCAATCATACTTTAAGTATAATACAGGTCTCAATCATACTTTAAGTATAATACAGGTCTCAATCATACTTTAAGTATAATACAGGTCTCAATCATACTTTAAGTATAATACAGGTCTCAATCATACTTTAAGTATAATACAGGTCTCAATCATACTTTAAGTATAATACAGGTCTCAATCATACATTAAGTATAATACAGGTCTCAATCATACATTAAGTATAATACAGGTCTCAATCATACTTTAAGTATAATACAGGTCTCAATCATACTTTAAGTATAATACAGGTCTCAATCATACATTTAGTATAATACAGGTCTCAATCATACTTTAAGTATAATACAGGTCTCAATCATACTTTAAGTATAATACAGGTCTCAATCATACTTTAAGTATAATACAGGTCTCAATCATACTTTAAGTATAATACAGGTCTCAATCATACATTAAGTATAATACAGGTCTCAATCATACTTTAAGTATAATACAGGTCTCAATCATACTTTAAGTATAATACAGGTCTCAATCATACTTTAAGTATAATACAGGTCTCAATCATACATTAAGTATAATACAGGTCTCAATCATACTTTAAGTATAATACAGGTCTCAATCATACTTTAAGTATAATACAGGTCTCAATCATACTTTAAGTATAATACAGGTCTCAATCATACATTTAAGTATAATACAGGTCTCAATCATACATTAAGTATAATACAGGTCTCAATCATACTTTAAGTATAATACAGGTCTCAATCATACATTAAGTATAATACAGGTCTCAATCATACTTTAAGTATAATACAGGTCTCAATCATACATTTAGTATAATACAGGTCTTAATCAATACAGGTCTAATCATACTTTAAGTATAATACAGGTCTCAATCATACATTAAGTATAATACAGGTCTCAATCATACTTTAAGTATAATACAGGTCTCAATCATACATTAAGTATAATACAGGTCTCAATCATACATTTAGTATAATACAGGTCTCAATCATACTTTAAGTATAATACAGGTCTCAATCATACTTTAAGTATAATACAGGTCTCAATCATACTTTAAGTATAATACAGGTCTCAATCATACATTAAGTATAATACAGGTCTCAATCATACATTTAAGTATAATACAGGTCTCAATCATACTTTAAGTATAATACAGGTCTCAATCATACTTTAAGTATAATACAGGTCTCAATCATACTTTAAGTATAATACAGGTCTCAATCATACTTTAAGTATAATACAGGTCTCAATCATACATTTAAGTATAATACAGGTCTCAATCATACATTAAGTATAATACAGGTATATACAGGTCTCAATCATACTTTAAGTATAATACAGGTCTCAATCATACATTAAGTATAATACAGGTCTCAATCATACTTTAAGTATAATACAGGTCTCAATCATACATTTAGTATAATACAGGTCTCAATCATACTTTAAGTATAATACAGGTCTCAATCATACTTTAAGTATAATACAGGTCTCAATCATACTTTAAGTATAATACAGGTCTCAATCATACTTTAAGTATAATACAGGTCTTAATCATACTTTAAGTATAATACAGGTCTCAATCATACTTTAAGTATAATACAGGTCTCAATCATACTTTAAGTATAATACAGGTCTCAATCATACTTTAAGTATAATACAGGTCTCAATCATACTTTAAGTATAATAGGAAAGCATCCAACCGGAAAGTGTACACACTGCAGCCAGCCAGAAACTGTTGAGCATGTTTTACTGCTTTGCAGGAAATATAGTACTCAGAGAAATGTGCTTTTCCAGACACTGAAGAAAGCAACATTCCATGACTTGTCGCTATCAGGGCTGTTAGGGAAAACATCAGGCAATATATATTGTGAGATTATTAAGTTTCTAAGAGAAATTGATACATTTAAAATAATATAGAGTTTTGGTTCTTTGTTTTGTTTGTTTTGTTTCTTGTTTTCTGCATAGTCTCTAGTCCACACTCCAGTCCAGTTGGTGGCGGTAATGCGCCTACAAGTTGGTTTGCCAACCGTCAATAAACACTGAAGAAGAAGAAGAAGACGAAGAAGAAGAAGAAGAAGGAGAAGCAGAATCAGAAGGACGAAGGACAGAAGAAGAGGTGAGTGGATTAAACCTCTTAGTTTACAGTTAATCACGAATCAGAAGTTATCTTATTTAACACAACAGCTGTAATCTTCAGTCTAACAGCTACAGTCTAACAGCTACAGTCTGAAAGCTACAGTCTGAAAGCTACAGTCTGAAAGCTAACGGCTATCGGCTAACAGCTACAGTTATTATTCCAGGTCGGCTCTGGGGGAGTAACAGTTGATTTGTAATGCTCAGCTGACTTTATGTTAGTTATTTATTACACCAGTTGTCTTTAAGACGGTTTGAGTTGTTGTGTTGGTGCTCTTTACCATAGATATGGTTTTAAATATATGCTAACTAGCTTATTAGCATCGCCATTCGCCGTGACGTAGCATTTGTCCCATTGAAATGAATGGGGTTCTTCAGTTAGCAGCTAACGCTAAGCTAAGCGACGGTTTAGCTCATTAGATAAATAGATATACTTTATTTAAATAATGATTTATCTTAAAGTGGGAAATGAATGTGTCACAGCAGAAGTGTTTTCAGGCATTACACGAGTTAAACATATTTAAAAGACGCAATAAGATATAATACAAATGAAGCATTAGCAGCAAGTATACACACAGGACACATATCACTAGAGTATCTAAAGAATACACAATATACAGAAAATACTGTATACATGGAGTACATTAAACAGTCTCACTAGCTAATGTTTGCTTTCTGTGTTAACTTAGTGATAGTTACACACGGATAGCGCTATAACAGTGGTTCAAACAACCATTAATGTCACTTTCTATGTGAATAAAGTCATTTTAATGAAATAAAAGTGAACAAACTGTGAGCTGTAAGTTAGAATGTAAGTTGCTACACAGATTATGATGAATTATATCTAAATACTTGTATTATATTAATAATGAAGCAGCTCTGTGGTCTTCATCAGGACAGCTGATGAGCAGCATGGAGGAGAAGAAAGAGACCCCTGGAGCTCAGGTCAGTGTGCACTTCATCACAATATATTCCTAATTCCAGCGTTTCCGCCAGGCGGGCGTCTTGCCTTCATGTGACGCCCTTATTCAGCTCGGAACGCCCTATACAGACATAAATAAAGCAGCGACTGTATTCACCATGACACAGACAGTCTGTGGTTTGTACTTGTTTAACTTCTGTCTAGTTTCTGAACAGATATGAGGAGCTGTGAGCTCAAAACTGTTTCATCAGCATACATCACATTCTCCACACACAGAAGGCGGATCATTTATGTACATACTAAACAGGATTGGGCCCAATACAGAGCCCTGCGGTACTCCAGTTGACAAACACTAGACTTATGGTTCTCAATTTGAACACAAGGAGCTGTTGTTGAGATGATTGATGATTTGTTTGGCAATCAATTTCTCAAATACCTTGGCTACTATGGGTAAGATACTGATGGGCCTATAGTTGGATGTCATGAGAGGGTCCCCACCATAGTTATCAAGAACACAAAACAGTTCTTTAGCCCCTCTGTCCTGGGGGTTGTCAACATGGATGTTAAAATCACCAACAATGACTAGACGGTCAAAGTCAAAACACACTATAGACAGCAGTTCAGTGAAGTCATCAAAAGAAGCTAAAAGAAGCTAAGAGCACAGCTGAACTCCCGCAGCCCTGGGGGCCCCTACATTGGTTGTGATGGCAGATGACAGGGTTTGGTCAAGTTGCTCTCTACTGGTGAGGAAAGCGGCATACCAGTAAATCAGGTATGGATTTACTTCCATTTTTGACACCAAGATGTCTGCTTGTATTGTGTTGCTGCTGAGAAGTCTAGGAAGAGGGCTCTTGCATAGGTGTGACGTTTATCTAAATGTTTAGTGAGTATGTGAACCAGAGTAGCAGCAGTACCACCCCCTTGCTTATAGGCAAATTGGTATGGATCAAGTATGTCTTTCACAATAGGTTTAGCTGAAGAGGTCATTCCTGTCACGGTTCTCATGGTGTCCCACACTTTTTTGGGTTCTTAGGCTTTAAAAGCTTTCTCAACTGGTGTAGCGAGCTGCTGCATGGAAGTCAGTGACGACATTTTGTCAGTGAAGGAGGAGACAGGGATTTTAACAAATGATTGTGCGTGAGGTGCGAGAGGAATCAGAGCAGCTGCCTTTGCGGCTGAGTCAGCAGGTAAATTAGCGGACCCAATTTCTTAGGGAAACTGGGTCTGTACTGCTTGCGTGTGCGGCACATTTACAGACTGCAACTTCAGATGGGAGCAGAGTGGCGTCTAGTAAGCCTGCAACCAGTACATGGTTAAGTACTGGTTTGCCATCAGATTTCAGAAATTGTCTACACTTCCAAATAGCCCCAAAATCGTGTACTACCCCAAAAGCATAGCATAGCGTCAGTGTAAATAGTCACGGTTTTGCCTTCTGCAAACGTGCAGGCTTCAGTTAGTGCGATGAGCTCTGCTGCTTGTGCTGAGACATGGGATTGGTCCGGAACGGAGTACAGCAGAATCTGAAACAACAGGAAAACCCACCCGATTAGTGCCCCCTTGGTCGCGAGAGGCAGACCCATCAACATACAAAATGAGGTCAGCGTTGGTCAGAGGAACGTCTTTTAAGTCCGGTCTAGGTGTGCACACCATGAGAAGTTCGTCACCGTCTTCAGGCAAAGGCATAAGAGGGTTCTTACACCTTTTCCAAAGTCAAATTCAAGCACTTTTCAAGCATTTTCAAGGTGCATTTTCAAGCTTTTCAAGTATCTTACAGCTGTTGTAAATTACATATTTATATGCACATACTCAAATGATTATTTCCCTACCTCACATTAACCCAGATGTTCTTTATGCTATAAACAACCAAATGTGTGTTTCGTGATAGCATTCTACACGAGGATGAAAAATTAAAGAAAAGAAAACTAAGTTTAATATTTCAAAATGAGTGATCTGTACGTCTAAAAACCGAATTCAGGCGACCTTTCACCTCCACTTAATTAAATGCACTGGTTGCAAGATAAACATGTGAGTTAATTGATTTAGATAAACATTTTAAGTTGCAACATTAATTTATAAGTTGTGTTGACGTAATAATGTTGGTAATTACATCAACTTAATATTGTGTGTCATTTGAACTCTGATTTCTGCGTTAATTGACTTCAAACTAAATTCAAGTTGAGGTAAGTAATGCAATTGGCTTGATAACTTATTGTTCTACACCTTGAGTTAAGGATTTCAAGTCCACTCCCACTTAACAGGCCTGGACAAGTTCCCACAGTTAAGACAAATAGAAATATACAAAGGACATTTTAAGGTGAGTGTCATCTTTTGTCATTCAAATACAACTTGAAATTCAAACTCTCCTGATTGAAACATCATGTGTTGAAATAAACAACTGCAGTTCAAAAATAAAAAGTGAATTGCCTAATATTTTTGTTGTGGAATCAATTAATTTATTTCTTTAAAGGCAAAACATGGAAAAGCTAAGAGAAAAAAAACTATTGAATACAATATTATTTGGAGCAACTTAATTTACAAATGGCTGTCAACTTAAAAACATGTGTTCATGTTCAACATGTGGTAATTAAGTACATACAACTTAAGATTACATTTAAATCCTACGGTAAAACAAGTTGGAACGTTTGGAGTAATCAACTTAAAACGTGTGTTTATGCTACCAATGATTAAGTAAGTGGTAATTGAAAACACCTGATTGTAGAGGAGACGCCTTCTCCCCTAACTCAAATAACTTTGTTGCTTTAACAACATTTCATTAGAAGTTGTCTTAACTCAATAACCATCGATGCAACCTATTGCCTTGATTCTCTTTGTTAAGCCAAGCATTTGTTTTTAGAGTGTACGTAGACTGGGCCTCCCATATAACCTGGCTGAGCCGATATAATAATAATAATAATAATAATTCCTTACATTTATTATAGCGCTTTATCAATGACTCAAAGCGCTTTACATATACACACATTACACATATATGATACATGCAATGGTCAGATACTGTGGACAATACCCACAGGAGCAAGTTCAGGTGAAGTGTCTTGCCCAAGGACACACCGGCTTTACAGACGCAGCAGCGGCGGGTTTCACCCCTTGATCTGATGATCATTGCACAGCGCACTGCGCCACACCGTCCATCTTCACGCCTCGAAGACATCGAGGCGCTTTTACAGGTACACATTGGTATTATACATGTACTGTGGACAATACCCACAGGAGCAAATCCGGGTGAAGTGTCTTGCCCAAGGACACAACGGCTTGACACAGTGGCGGCAGGAGCGGGTTTCGAAAACAATATAAAACATAAAAACAATCAGCCAAATAACTTCTCAATACATTATTGATTACTATTCTTTTAGGTACTTTTAGGTTGGCAGTGAACATAAGTCAGAGGTACATGGTGTACTTTTCCTCCACTACATGTATTGAATACCTTTAGTTACTTCACAGATGTGGATGAATGATGTGAAATCTAACCAAGTGTTGAATCAGACTGTAGTTCCACCTGGAGTAAATCCACCAGCTACCCTGCAGTATACAAAGTACTTCAAACTAGCTGCACCTTCACCAGCTTTGAGAACACTTTCATGATCAATCATTATAAAACATATCATATATATTATTCTGAAATGGACCAATCTGCACAATGAATACTTTTACTGTCTTTCACTATATTTTTGATGAGAATACTTTTCTACTTTCACTTGAGGAACATTTTGAATGCAGGACTTTTACTGTAACACTCTGGTACTTCTACCTTTACTCAAGTACAAGATCTGAGTACTTGTACTTTTACTCAAGCACAATATCTGAGTACTTGTTCCACCTCTGGTAGTGTATTAGTCTGAATTGTAGCTACAAAATCACGCAGAGCTGCATAAAAATAGCCTCACAATGGTAACACGTGGAAAATAATATTTACAAATGTGTCCAATGGTTTGTAGGTAATTTTGACTACTCAAGACACCTGACTTATACAAAGGAAGACTGTGTTCATTCTACAATTACATGGGATTAAAGCAACATGTAGTTTTACTTGTATAATTCTTCCATTTTGTATAAAAGACAGTTTGTTTTCATCTGTTTTCGAATAAACAAAGTATTGGCTTTCAGAATATTAAACTTGTAACGGCATAATTACAAGCAGAGAACGGACTAATGTAACATCACAGCAAGCATAACAACAGCCGTGTGTTATGAACAAACCGGAGGAGCCAGGCATGGAGGGAGGTGGCAGAGACAGTGGGTGAAACTGGTAGGTTTTCGCCTGTTCGGGGAGTTTATATCCAGTTTACTGCGTTTTAACATTGCTATTGCTTTGTATGTCGGGGGCGGGAGATTCATGTGATTGGTTGTTGGTCGCGTTGCTCGCAAAAAATCGCCAAGCTTCAGACACGCCCAGCATCAAGATTTTTCAAGATGTTTTTCATGCCTGTGTGTGGACGGGCCGTAATCCCCGAAGCTTTTTGTGAAGCATGTATCGAGGCTTGTATCGTTTTGGGCCAGTGACGTCATCGATGACAAACGAAGCCTCGCTGCCTGTCGATACCACGTGACTAGTGCTGCGTACCTGGACTCACATTCAGGTTCAGGTCCGGACTCAAGTCCAGAGGTTCAGGTTCAGGTCCGGACTTACAAGTCCGGACCTGAACCCAAGGCTTGTGTCAAGTTGTGTGACTAAAGTGAACTTATTGTGAGCTAATTATCAATTGAAAATTAACTAATAATCAACTCAAATTCAAACTCGTCAGGTTTATTGTGCTCCCTTCCAACTTGTGTCTACATTTCTCTACAAAGTACAAATGTAAAAAAAACACTTTTTGCCACTCTACAAATGACTTATGACAGCAACTACAGTGAACTACTACAAAGTTCAAACATTTATTTCATTTAGCAAACTAAAGTAACCAAACAGTCCCTGAGCTGACTGAGCCTAAATCCCTAAAACGTTGCTGAAAGGTAGAGTGTAGAGTAGACTATACGCATTACACTGTTACACACCTACTATACA